AGGCGCGTTGACGGGTCCACCAGGGAACTTGGTCATTGGACTCGACATTCTTCTTCAGTGATCCAAATCCGGTGAAAACAAGAGACGTACGCGAGTATACTAAACGCTTGGATGACAATACCGCAATGCATCCACACCACCCCATGAGCAGGACTCTATCATCGCCTCACCAAATGAGCGTACATCGATACTATGGATATGGATTATAGGGTCGGGACAACTTCACACAGGCTTCGGACGTGTGTACTGCACGACCCTAACCAACCGTACTCAGCAGTCCTCAGCAGTAAAGATATCAAACGGCATGGGGGTCCGAAACATTCGAAGACTTGTCAAGGGTAGCATACAAAGTACTAAACTGGAACTTACTAGTAAACCACTATAAGCCTTTGCGCATAACTAGTAGCATTAGCATTAGCACTATTTATTAGCGTATTCGAGGAATTCATAACCCACCAGAAAACAAGAAACTCTCCATATGCAATTATATCGTATATACACTTCAATTGGGTCTCTCTCATTCGAAATGTTCTGCCCCTAACAATGGTACCTTCAAGTCTGTCATTGCAGAGAGATCTCATATGACTCATGACTTTGTTTGAAACCAGCTCGATTTCTTTTTCTTCTTTTCTACACATTCATATGAATGAGGAACATCTTCGCTCTTTTGGAGGGCCATGTCCAAGACAACTGATTCTTATTTATATTCCTCAACAAATCAAGAACACCTGCGTACCTTTCCTTGTCGTCGTGGCTTGGATGACTCGACATTCTTTTGTCACATTAGCTCGAGTCGGTGCCTACATCAATGTGGTAATGTGTTCTATGACTTCTCTTTGTATATCAACCATCTGGGTACCATTGATGATCAGCCACACTCACCTCATCCAGAAATATGTGAAACAAGGAGAGTTACAAGGGTTGTTCTGGATCCAATGATAATCTACTTTCATGCCATCAATTCACATAGTTGTTGAGTTGAAAATTGGTTCTTACAACCATTGATGATCAGCCACACTCACCTCATTCAGAAATATGTGAAACAAGGAGAGTTGCAAGGGTTGTTCTGGATCCAATGCTAATCTACTTCATCCTATTTATGCCGTCAGTTCACATCGTCGTCGAGTTGAACATTGGCTTTTTCCATGTATGTCAGCCTCGTCACAAGATGATCACTGTTACCTGTGCATCGTGAAATTTGCTTTCTAATGTTGATGTTCTATACTTGAAGCACTGTATCAGAGCCAAAATTATGGTTTCTCTTCAAGTCCTTGTATTCACACGGCATAGATTTGAATACCGAAGGGTGTGAATGGCTCAAAAAGGGCCCATCAGCGTCAATCATTCAGGTTGTCGCATGTTCTACACCTTCTGGTGGACATAGGAGCTGGTTATCTCGTTGTACAGGTGGGATTTTGTTAGAATTCGGCAGGTATATCACAGACCTAATAGATCACTGTGAGTTATAATCCTCAGTCCATTATAAGAGACTGTATTCCACTATACCTAATAGATCACTGTGAGTTATAATCTACGGTATAGTTAGTTTTGTGTATGGTTGGTGTATGGAAGTTACTCACCCTCAGTCCGTTATAAGAGACTGAGGGTGCTATCTACAGTATGTGCGAGTTTATATGTACAGGGAGACAATGTCCATTGTTCAGTCCAAGGGCGGCCACAAAGGTGGCCATTTGTCTGTGGTGGCCAAAGCCTCGCTATAGTGGCCATTCGTCTGTGGTGGCCAAAGCCTCGCTATAGTCCAACAGATTTAGAACATCTCATTTCGTTCAGGGGGTAATAGCTAAGAATGCAGCTTACTTCTGTTGTGATTGGCTTTGCAGTCAATCCCAATCAAATTGTTTAGAATGTGGTTCAAGCGGTATATGTATGTATTTCGGGTGTTATACTTTTTCTTATTCTGCACGCATTCATCCTCTGCAGTGTGTCTACCCTGCACTGACTATTGCCTTCATCCGTGGCCCATTTTCAGCTGCAAGTCTCCATGAGACAGTGATCTCACTCCAAACATCTTCTCAGGGTGTCTAATTAGATGCCATCCTCCATGTGTCCATTAATCCATCGAAATTGTTATCTCACTCTTTCCATGTCTTAAACCAAAGCATCTCATTTGTCTCCTAGATACATTGGACTGTGATATTCCACAGAAGTTCTGCATTACCATGCATAGTTGTACATGTCTGCAAGTTGAGTCGGGACCACGGACATAGCCTGGTGTGCTCAGTTCCTTGGCAATGTATGATGATCAGTTTTTTTTTTTTGAAATAGAGGACGATCTAGTTTGTAACATGAATGAGGTAGTGCAGACAGGCATCTAAATCTGGCATCTAAAAGCCTGAGTGTACATGATACTATGGATATGTACATAGAACCACCACCTGCCGGACACCTCCGAGTCCCACCGTCTTGACTCCAAACTCAGAAACACACCACAGCAATCCTCTTCTATCAACGATCAACCATTCTCATCTTCGCAACTTGAAAGAGCGGCGAGCAGTGTATCAATATACGGGGCCGACTACTATAATGTACTATATCGCATCAACCCCGGGCCCTGGCGCTTTAGCTCCCGCTTCATCAATAGCTTCAATCTCCTCTTCAGTAAGCGGCGCTGTGCACAAAACCAATTTTCAAAAGGGGCAGTAATCACAAGATACTAAACACGTACGCAGGTCTCCAATAGCAATATAGTCCTTCAACCGTTCCTTATTCATACTCGTCCTTCAATCCAAGATATATAAATCACTCATTCCGCCACCCTTTTAAAAACATTCAGAAAGTAAAAGTACTCACGTCACGATTCCAATGCCCTTTGCCTTTGCCCACAACAACAAAACCTGCGCTGGATCAACACCCAACCGTTTCGCAGCGGCATTAACAGGCGTGTCGACGGGTCCACCAGGAAACTTGGTCATTGGACTCGACATTCTTCTTCAGTGATTCAACTCCGGTGAAAGCAGGAGACGTACGCGAGTATACTAAACGCTTGGATGACGATACCGTGCTGCTCAGCGTACTCAAGTAACGATTTCTTAGACGCGTAGTTGTACGGGTTCAACGAGATCTGGTTGACCGCCGGCTTGATTTTCGCTGTCTTCATAATCTCCTCGAGGTGCCCGACGTCGAAATTGCTGACTCCGATGCTCCTACGGTACATAATACGACGTCAACCCATCCGTCACGAACTCAAGTTGAAATTTTGCTGTTTTTGCGAAAGAGTCCACAACAACAGCAGACTTCGTACCTTACCAACCCATCTTCCTGTATCTTCTCAAACTCCCTCCATGCGCCCCCAAAGTCGTTTTTGACGGCGTCGGGGATGTGGACGAGGTACAAATCGACATGGTCCAGCCCAAGCTTAACGAAGAATAAGAATTGAGCAGTATATATATATCTGTCTATTGACGCGTTGGTTCATGAGCGAGCGCGTACTTACCTTTCTCAGACTCGTCTGTATAGCCTCCCGGATATCGCCTAAATGATACTTGGTCGTCACGAACAAATCCCGTCTCTCCATCCCACTCTTCCGAATTCCAATCCCGACACTCTCTTCATTGTTGTACACTAATGTCGTATTACTCTATAGCATCAAACTGATCGAGGTACGAGGGCGTAATATGTTTGGAACGTACTCTGCGCAGCGTCGATATGTGAAAATCCAGCATCGAGAGCTTGAGAGACCCAGTTTGAGACGTCCTGATCACGGAGAGCGGTCCCAGTCCCGTAGGCGATAGCGGGCATCTGGAGAACCACGTTCAAGTTAGCAGCGGTGGTAGTGGATCTGGGGACTCGAGAGGAGAATTGACCGAGTTGCCATCGTTCAGCTTGATGTTTGCGAAAGGCATTTCTTCTTTGATTCTCAGTTAGGCTGAGGTTATAAGATAAGGAAGTGGGTGTGATAGGAACTGTAGATTGAAGTTGCTTATCAATTCCCGTAATGCCGGACCGCCGCTTCGACCCGCCAGTAACTGGCACTGGTGGGAAAGAATCGAGATAAGAGCTTGGTTTGAAAAGCATGAATCGTCTCTATTCGAGTTATAGACCTTGAGAAAAGAGACAGAGGATTTCAAGCCCAGAAATAACACAGCATTTAGTAGTGATACACCGCCGGGGCAGTTTTTGTGTAGCAAGCTGTTTGTGAGAGCGTGGATTTGGCGTGGATCTATTCGAGCTGACCAATGACTCAACCCACGCGGCACCTGTAGCGGATTACCGGCCTCTTTTGTATAAGTCTTTGCTAGTATATCGGTTAGTACACGCGCCTGTCATTTCCTTTATGTCTGGAGTATGGATGTCAACGCGCGAAAGCTGGGTTCGACTCCCAGGCAAAGAGTGTTTTGTTCTATTTTTGACTGCCTTGGTGGATCGTCTGTCTGCCTTTCAGCCCTCCATGCATACTGACCATACGAATAAGAATTTAGAATATCATTTACTCTCTCTAGACGATTTTATCATTTATGTAAATCGATGCATCAGCGCTCCATCGATATCCGGCAGGTGATCAAACCTCGAGGCATCTTTCAAGTTGTTGTTCTTCTGAAGTCCCACAAAAGATTCGCTGGTTATCACATTAAATCCGTTTGGCGCTCGCTCGACTCACGATCTGGCCAAGTCTGTAAATTCTGAACTAATCTAATCAATTACCGAGGGTTAATGGTCACTCATTCTCTAGAAGGGCTGACAAATTGTCCAAGGTCGCGGCCCCGTGTTGCTTTCGCAAGGCTCGGGGACAACTTGACAACCTCGAGTGGATCAACATGCACTGCCTTGAAGCTGCTGCGGCTCGCGTATATATATATAGATATCTGATTGCCCCCGCATCCAAATCTGTCCTTCACATTCAACTTGACGTACTCATGCTATACAAGATCGTAAACGCCAAATTCAATGACAAGGTGCTCGCATTGTCCAAACACGATAACGAGACAGGTACGTGTATTCCATTCTTACGTCTTATCGTAGATATTCCCAACTCGAAAACCATTCTTCAGTCCTTGGATTTGATCACTCGATCAGTCAAAGTAACCAGATGAGCTAATTCGATTGATCCTTTCAGGCGACTGTAAAGCTAAATACCTCTTTAACAGTGGTCTATACACGATTACAATGGCCTCAGCGTCATAGAGAACGTAGGGACCGGGTTTCCTTTATACCTTGGCGAAGACAACGGGAGGATTATTGGCGTTAAGAGTATGTCAGAAGAACAAGCACCACGATGGGATGTTTGGCCAGTGGGTCGTTTTTCGAGGTCCGTCCATGATCCGGTGATACTACCCGGCGCTGACAGCTCGACTGTAGAATTCTTCTCGGAAGCTTGTTTTTGGAGCTAAGGCGGAGAGATGTCACCAGACACTGCAAAGAGGTAGGGTTTGCGCCTGGAGAGTACGATGACGATGCCCAACTTTGGGAACTAGTCCCAGGTGTGCATTTTCCCCTTTTCCATCGTATTTATTGTTAACCCGTGGCAATTGTCTAGTCCACGATTGCTGAGTTGCCGTCCATGGGTTCACATTGTATCATACGTAGTGTATATTAGTAACCTTTCAATTGGCCAAAAATGTCTGCTTAATACGATTAAGATACGACGATTAAAGCGATTTTACCACTCGAGAATTTCGTCTTTTCCTGAACAACGGCGCTGAATATGCAATGAAGTTACATCTAAACGACAGGACGGTAAGAAAGTTTGTGACATCTAATTTCATTCCTCGTGGCTTCTAAAGACTGATCTTTGATAATAGCTAGTATACGCCCTGTTGTGACATATCAGTTACCTACCATCCAATTAACGCCTCCACCGCGCACGAATTTGACCCAAGTAAACGTAGACGCCAAGATACTATTGAATAGAGTCGGACACTCAAGATCTCTTGATCCCGGACAACAACACCGATGTCTTCCTCCAACTCTTTGATCCTCTTCAAATGTTATCTATACTCTTCAGCCGCGTCCGCGTACCATTCAAGCGCCTCGTTCGCCCCTCCTAGCACCGTAGAGACCTGTAATAATGCATTGGAGAGCGAGGAAGCAGCATAGGGAGAGAGCATGAGAGCAAGGAAGCAGAGATTTGATGGACTTTGCATAGTCTTTCTAAGGAGATTCGCGAGGAGACACGAGTCGTCGGGGCGGTAGACCATCGGCACGTCGGTCAGATTTGAAATTGGGCCGGGTTTAACGGCGGGTTCAAGTTTTATTCTTGCTCACATCTAAGTACCATACATTATTTTGGCGCACTAACTCGAGTCGCTGATTCCATCAATCTGGTAATGTGTTCTATGACCTGTCTTCGTATATCAATCATCTCACAGCCATTGATGATCAACCACACTCACCTCATTCAGAAATATGGGAAACAAGCAGTGCTAGAGTTGCAAGGATTGTTCTGGTTCCAATGATAATCTACTTTCATCCTATTTCTGCCTCAATTCACATCGTCGTCAAGTCGAAAATCAATGAACAGGATGAAAGGCCTTTTTGAAGCGCGTGTAATCTCGATCTTATGACCATCATCTGGGAACCCCAGATCTGTTCATCTCGGATGAAATTTCGACACTAATCGGGTAATAACGAGGAAACATATCTTATATCTTCACGACGCTACATCTTTCGGTGAGTACTCATCTTTCCATATCTACCTTGAGCAATGTATGTTGGCCTCAATCAGAAGATGATCACTGTTACCTATCTGCCAAATTTTGTTTAGAACTATGTAATCTTGTTCCGCATATGGCCTTAATGAACACTCCAAAATCAGAGGGTTCTCCTGATATGGAGAAGTATTTTATATATATATTGTAGTGTGGCATTGTGATTCAACCAAGCGCCTAGAATAATCCCTCCTTTCCTCTACAAGCTGTTCATCTAGTCATCTCAACAAGCCTCTGCTCTCACTACGTGGTCTTCTACTCGTGTCAATCATGACTCCAGAAGAGCGAAAAGTTCTCCAGGAAATTGGGAACAACATGCTTAGGGAAGGTATCATATATCCAGCAACTTTCTTCTTGTGTTATGGTCTGCTGCTTCCCTCAGTGTTAATATCAGATGTTAAGTACTCCATAGGTATATTGATGCCAATTACAATTGCGGTTGCCCACTCTAATTTACTCAAACCCTAATGCTGTCACAGCAGCTCTGGCTTCTGACAATGCAATGTACAACTATCTAAGCAACATACCAACTCTCTTGTCACTCCTAACTAACTTGGTTGCCACATCTTTCACCAGCTGGACATTATGGTATGGCTATCAACAGTGAAAAATAGTTTCTTGAATCATTCATAATTGGCCAGGGCACATGTAAAGTTCTTGCATGCAAATGTGGATAACCATCAGTATCAGTCATTCAAGTTGCAACAAATCTTACACCTTCTATTGGACATGGGAGCTGTCTATGTTGTTCTACAAGTGGGATTTCAAACCTCCCATTGTTCTGCAAAAAGTAATGTTCAAGATTACAGCTTATAACTGTTGTGGCTGGCTTTGCTACCAGTCCCAATCAGATTTCTACCATTCAGTTCATTTATGATGTGTTTCAAGTAGTCTATATCTGCATTTCAGTGTGTATTATATTTTCTTCATACACATTCTCACCACACTCATCTCCTGCAGTGTGTCTACCCTGCATTGACTATTGCCTTCATCCATGGCCCATTCTCAGTTGCAGGTCTCCATGAGACAGTGATCACCTACTACATGCATATCTATTTCACAGAAATTCTCCATCACTGTATGTAGTTGTAGGAGCAAGAAAAAACAGAGCAGATAAAAAGACCCCAGGTATCTCTCTCTATCACTTTTAAATCACTCCCAGTCCTCATCTTCCATGCCTTCTTCTTAAAAGATCTGAAACATACAGCATTTTAGATGTATATTAATAAATTTATCATAACTTTTATACTTGATATTACTGAACCATAAATCTTATCCAGCATGCTATGTCAACTGTATCTTC